TATGCTTCAGCTATTTGTACTTTAACGCGGATTGAATGAAGCTACCAGCCAGACCAGCCCTTTTCTGCTGAAATTAGTTTTTTTTGAATATGAATAGCCTAAGGGATCACTATTGGCAGGAATCGAAGTTCTTTTGCAAGGATCAGTAAGCTGAAGTGGCAATGGATTGGTCATATAGCTCGAAGAACTGACAATCGATGGGAAATAAAGGTTCTCGAATGACAGTGACATACTCAAAATGTAGTGTTGAGCGACCCCTAAATAGAGTGAAGACCTGATGAAAAACGCAAGCAGTTGATGGATGCAGGTGGCTCAAATCCTTATTTTGCGGCAATCTATGAGGGAGACCGATGTCAGCAGTGGACTTATAATGGTAATGAGGACATCTAGATTTGGCCGGCTACAAGGTGCAACCATTTGTGATTGGTTTATTTGCTGATAAAACTAGGTTTGGTGAGTAGCTAGTGAGAATTAAAAAAAAACATTAAAAAAATCGTATGGTTGAAAACATTTCAGAATGAATACAGATAGTCACTGTATTGAGGCAAATGCCTTTGCTGCAAAACACAATAAATTTCGAATTGCAATTCGTTTTCTCTGTTATTAAGAATCGCTCAAAGGAGAACACAATTACAACGATAACGAAATAAGAGGGGATCGAAGAAAGCTTTGTGCAATCAGTGCGATTTATTCTTTAACCACGTGGTCTGGGACAAGTCTCATCTTCGAGATTTTTTTTGTCATTGCCTCAGTACGTATAATGTTACAATATTGTCTCAACAATTTTGTTTAGATAGTAAATACTTATAATTAGATAAAAAAAGAAAAAAAAAAACGTCTGCGGTTTTGGTTGCACCTTCTTTCACTGCCAAAATTTCCTTTTGTTCCGGAACGTATATGACATCGTATAGCATCCGATACGAGGTTTAATGCAGATGCGGAATGGGATTTATTAGATACGTTAGCGCAATGGCGCGGCGCATCACACACGTTTAATTTTGTATCTAAATTAACGATAACGATACACGTCTGCGCCATGTAATTAAATACTCGTATTAAACACTAAGGTAATCAAAATGTCGAATCTTATGAGGTCTCGGGTCTCGGTGTAGTAAAGGACGCACTAGCGCACGTGAACTTTAATCCTCTAGCTGGACCCATTGGTGCTACAACTATACCAGTAATATAGCTGCAGCATGACTCTCCCACTTAAAAATTATTTTACACGGGAAATATTTGTTCACTAAGTGAAAGTTATGTACCTAGACTGCACTAAAAGTATCGGGAATGGAATACTTCCATTGTTCCTGTCATATTAAAATCTTTTTAATTGAAAACTCCTTGATTTTAAAAATCGAATATCATTTATTCATATAAAAAAAAGATTCTCGGTCTTGTCACAAGGTTTTGTCAAACTTGTTTAGTCGTTGAGAAAATGGAATTGACTCGAGGAAATTCAAGAGCGATAATTTATTATGACCTTCGAAGTGGTTTAACACAAATACAGTGTATTGACTGGATAATTTCTGCATTTGGTGATGAAGCCCCATCCAAAACCACAATTTATCGCTGGTTTTCTGAATTTCAACGTGGACGTGTCAAGCTCAGTGATGATCCACGTCAAGGTCATCCAAAAACTGCAGTCACCCAAGAAAACGTTGATGCTAATGCGTAAGCTGATTGAGGAAGATCGACATGTGACATACCGCGAAATTCAGGCAACTTTAGACATTGGCATGAGTCAAATAAAAATAATCTTGCATAAACAATTAGGTGTAAAAAAAGTTATTTTCCCGATGGATACCGCATTCGCTCTTTGAAGAGCAAAAAGTGATTCGCGTTACTTGGTGCGTCAGAACTCTCGAACGATTCCACGCAGGATCCTCAAATGCTGTATACAACATCGTATCAGGTGACGAATCCTGGATATATGCGTACGAACCCGAAACAAAAAACCAGTCACGAGTTTGGGTGTTCGAAAATGAGTTAAAGCCAACAAAAATTGTTCGTTCACGGAGTGTTGCAAAAAAAATGGTGGCCACGTTTGTCTCCAAAACCGGCCATGTTACGATTATTCCTCTTGAGGGACAAAGAACGGTTAATGCGGAATGGTATACAAGCATTTGTTTTCCACTGGTCGTATCTGAACTCCGTAAAGAGAACTGCAACCACCGCATCATCCTCCATCACGACAATGCAAGTACTCGCACCTCACACAGAACAAAAGAGTTTTAGAGCAAGAAAACATAGAATTATTAGACCATCCGCTGTACAGCCCAGACCTAAGCCCAAATGATTTCTATACTTTCCCTAATATAAAGAATAAATTGCGTGGACAGATATTTTCATCACCTCAAGAAGCTGTGGACGCCTACAAAACGGCCATTTTGGAGACCCCAACTTCCGAATGGAATGGTTGCTTCAATGATTGGTTCCATCGTATGGAAAAATGTGTCAAATTTCGCGGAGAATATTTCGAAAAGCAATAAATACATTTTTAAATAGTTATGTTGTGTCCCTTCCTTGATTCCCGAAATTTTAAGTGCCGCCCTCGTAGTTGTTCATCGGAAATAATATCTTATCCGCAAATATAGTGGTAGTTACTAACTTTTATATCAGCATTACCAGAACATTTAATAAGCTTAGTCACTGATTGTTTTTCTTTCAGTGTCTAGTTGGTCTAGTGCCGACTACTGATTACATACTGCGAATCTCACTCCTTACTCCTTAGGTAAAATTGGCATGATTTGATCCCACTTCTGACACCAGTTGTTACGAGCTTAGGGTTCGTGACAATAAAAATTGCCAAAAGAATTACCAAAATTAACACTTTAATTCACTTTACACTAATTAAAACTTAAAAGACACTAATAATTAATCACACTGATTCACTTTACTTCGCTCCAAAGCTTCGCTTGTGCAAATTCAATACTGCTCCGATCGCGTATTGCAGCGCCTTTAAACACGCATTTTACATAAACATCCAGAATATTCAAGTAAATACGCGCGCCAATCGACCAGGGGGTAGGGCTTCTAGAAAGCTTAGTTCTTCACTTCGATACTATATGGCGCTGTCGGTTGAAAGATTAGTCATGTCATTTTCTGGAAAGCTCTCCTCGCTCTGTTACCCGACACTAGATGACGCTAGTGCCATACGTCAACTTAGGCGCGCAACACTATTAATGCTGGTGTTCCACAAAGCTGCGTTCTATCACTAACGCTGTTTGTTCTGTATATCAATGATATGTTGCAAACTGATAACATTCGTTGCTATACAGACGGCAGCACTGGTGATGCCTTATATACTGGCTGTGCCAATATTTCTCCGGAAATTGCGCCGAGTACCCGGACAAACTTGTGTGTGAAGTCGAGTCTTTGTTTAACAACGTCACGGATTGGGGGTGACTAAATCTAGTCCAATTCAATCCCCAGAAGACACAAGTTTGCGCGTTAACCCATAAAAAGGACCCCTTTAACGTATCTCCTCAGTTTGAAGGCACTTCCCTTGCTGCCAGAGCTAGCATCATAATCCTCGGCGTCGACATATCGAATAGTGTGCTCTTTTGTGGTCACTTGGAGGGAAAGGCCAAATTGGCCTCTAAAAAGCTTGGCGTGCTCAGCAGAGCGAGACAGTATTTCATGCCAGTACATCGCTTGCAACTTCACAAAGCGCAAGTTCGGCCTCACATAGAATACTGTTCTCATCTCTGGGCCAAGGCACCCCAGTGCCAGCTCCTTCCACTTTACCGCATCCAGCGCAGAGCGCTTCGAATTGTCGACGACCGAGTTCTTTCTGATTTAACTGATTCACTGGTGCTGCGTAGGGATTTTCCATCGCTTTGCGTTTTCTATCGTATCAACCATGGGGAGTGTTCAAAGGAATTGTTTGTATTAGTTCCAGCCGGCAAATTTCACGAACGCACATCGCATCAAAGTACCCAATATCATTCTCACCATCTGGATGCTTGGCGGTCCACTGCTGTACGTTTTATTAGGAGTTTTCTTCCTCGTACAACTTGTCTGTGGAATTGTTTACCACCAGTGACTTTTTCGGATCGATACGACTTAGGGACCTTCAAGAAAAGAGCTTACTCCTTTCTAAAAGACCGGCAATGCATCTGCAATTCCCCTGGTGTTGCTTCTATTCATGGGCGGTGGTAGTCACTTACTATCAGGTGAGCCGTATGTCCGTTTGCCCCTCTTCTATATAAAAATCAGCAATGATTGTTAATGACAATTTTGAGTGTTGATTTACCACGTGCTCGGTGGTAAAGGAAAACATCGTAAGGGATTTTGCGAGTCTGAGAAGTTTAAAAAAAAGTTTCGAATACATATTAAGACCCCCAGCATCCTATGGGATATCCTAACGGACACTTCCTTGCAATAAGAACCCTTTCGGAAATTAAAGTCCCAGTGCCCACCTGATGATAAGTGGCTACTGCAGTCCACGGACATCTGCAGCCATTTTTAAACGAAGAAGACTTATACGATGTCACCTTTGAGGACTAAAATAGTATGCCTCGCAGCCTGTATTATACTGGCACCTAACGCTTAAGACCGGAAACACAGTAGTGCATATACTGCTGCTGGTGTCAGAATAATTAAGAAGGTGGATGGATTAGTAGGCAGAAAAGGGGCCCTACCACTAGTATGTTACTCACCGGAACATGACGGTACGATGATTAGAGTAAGATTTTGTCAAAAATAGGAAGCTGTTCTACGTTTTGTACGATAAATTACAACAATCAATTAGTATTGACGTAGTGTTGAGGTAGGGATGAGGTAGGTGTGAGGTTAATCAGCTATATTTAAATATTTTATTGTATTTAATTATAGCTGCTTATAATTATTGAATAAATTACTTCCATTATTTACATATATATTTAATTCTTATATTCGTGATAAATAACTACATAATTTCCTATTGAAGTTAACATTTTACTGGCCCTCAGGCCTCTAATTGACCTTCTGCCATTGTTAGAATGCTAATATGAGTCCTAATGACAGACGTCAGTATTTTTTATGAAGGTATAATTGTTTAAAAAGGTAAATAATTTAACAGTATAGTTCAATCCTATACCTTTAAATGAGCAATTCTTGTATATATATATATATACCATATACTATATACCATATAATACAGCCATATTTCGCGCAAACAGTCAGTTGTTTTTTTTATCAGTCAGTCATTTTGTATTCCGTTCAGTCATTTAGTCACAAAACTATTTTCGATTCATCAAAAACTGACAACCCAGTAAACGTGAGGCAGCTTCGTTTAATGAAAAATACGACTTCAGAGTGACCAACCTCACGCTCACTCTCGATCCAACGGGTATTTTATAGACGCGCCGACGGTTCCACGGCCAACCCTGGCAGAATTGGCCGTGTGACCGTCTTTAGGCGTGTATCTTCATGAGTTCCTGTAAGAAGCACGTCCATTCTAACTTGATTAGGTACACTGTCCCTATCTGTGGACATTTAGGGACCCACACACATACGCAAGGAGATTACGTTTGACGTCATGCAAACTAACACTAGCTCAAGAGTCCCTTCGAGCAGTTGACATCTCACATGAAAACATGGACCGGACAACTGTCACTCCATACAAACTAGAGTAAGCAAGCGAAAGTTATCGATGGCTGCCAGACGTGGCACCAGTGTACTCACGATTCGATATATTATTATATATAAAGTATGTGATTTCGCTACGTAGTCCATTTACTTATCCTTAAGAATTAGTTTTATTTTTCGTTTGGTTTTTTTAATTCGTGTGTTTTGGAAATTATATTTAGATACAAATTACATACTGATGAAATGCGAATAATATTTTTTGATCTTAGCGACATAATAGAAAAAATTAACTGGTTATTTGAATAAAAAATCATGAGTGCAATTAGTTTAATTTAAATTTTCGTGTTTTTAAAAAATACTAAAAAAGGACTCGAAAAAATAGATTTTCTCAAAAAAAAAGGAACGTTAAAAAAAATTATAAAAGCCGGTCGGTCGGTCTGGGCTCGAACCATGGTATTACGATTTTGTGACCACCCAATATAGCAATTAAGCTATTTGTAATCATTGATAAACTGTCAAAATTTACCTTCTTATTCTAACGATATTGTAGCAGTTTTTCATTGCCTAAAAACTTTTATGAAAATCGTTGGAGCCGTTTCCGAGATTCCGATTATATACACTCAGCGTCAAAAAAATCGCACCTCTCTGAGTTTGCGCCAAAATATAAGTAAGCTGAAGTGGCAATGGGCCGGCCATATAGCTCGAACAATCGACAACCGTTGGGGAAGAGGGGTTCTCGAGTGGCAGCCTCGTACCCGTAGGTGAAGTGTAGGGCGACCCCCAACTAGATAGAGTGACGACCAGATAAGATACACGCCTAAAGACGGTCACACGGCCAATTCTGCCAGGGTTGTCCGTGGAACCGTCGGCGCGTCTATAAAATACCCGTTGGATCGAGAGTGAGCGTGAGGTTGTCAGTTTTTGATGAATCGAAAATAGTTTTGTGACTAAATGACTGAACGGAAAACAAAATGACTGACTGATAAAGAAAACAACTGAATGGTAACAAAATATTTTTTTACAGAAGGTTTCAAAAATTACGTCAAAATTTATTTAAGGTACTTCCATGTTGTCAGTTCATCAGGCAAAAATTATCCATAGTATATGTCGTCATAGGGATTTCCTAAAAAAGACTATGCTTTAAGTATTACATATATATAAGTGTTATGGACCTTTCTGAGAGATAATTCGTGATCAACCATAAAATCGCTGGATCAGCGTCCTTTTTTGTAGTTCTGTGATCACGGCTGGCCACCACGCTTGTCAAAAGCCCCTCCAATGTCCAACGAAACAATAACTGCAATTTAATTGTTTCTTACACAGTCCTTCACTGTCTCCAGGGCGTCATATAATGCATCTTCTATACCTGTGGGACGAAACCATATTGCCGACCGCTTAATTTACTATCGTGGCCAAGCTGCCATGTGAGTCTGGTTTCAAGCATACCGTCCAATTGGCCTATTACCTTTATTGGGGAAGGTACTGGAAAAGCTATGCTTTTGCGAGAGTATAATCCTCCTTATTTGGTTTCGGAATAACACGAATGATTGCGTTTTTCCATATCTGTGGAAAATATCCTAAAGATAGACACATATTAAATATTTTAAGGAGAATTCCTGGTTCAGCTAAGTAGGATTTAAAGCAAATTTCAGCAGTCAGTTCATCTCCTCCGGGTGATTTTTTGGGCCTCATGTCCTTGAAAACAGTTTCAACTTCAGTGGCGGAATACGGTATAGTGTAAGTGTATACTGTACTGTTGTTAAGGTCTTCTCTGATGCTTAATGCATTTTCCCTTATTTTTCTCTCTCTCTTGTCTCTATTGCCAGTCGAGTTGTCGTCTATTGGATAGAATTTGTCTGCCAAAAGCTTGACAGATTGCTCTGGGGATAAGGTGTTATTTTCCGTAGAGGATTTTAGTAACGTGTCATTCTTTGCTGCTGAATTTTTACGAATTATCCCGTATATGCTCTGCCACATGTTTTCCTTGTCTTGTCTGGAGCAGAACTGTTTCCGGCTCGAGGTCATTGCTTCCATCATGAGGTGTTTATAATCGGTTTTAGCTTGTATGTAGTCTTCAATTATATACAGTTTCCGTCTTTCGTTATCATATTTTATTTTTCTCCTTTTCTTTATTACCTCCCTCTTTTTCTCCTGTTGTTCCTTATTACACCATTGCGTCTTTTTTGGTATTTTCCTCGTTAATAAGGGTGAAGTATCTTCACAAGATTTATGAATACATGTGGTATATGTGTTGATGCACAGTTGTAATAATTTTGGGGTACTTATGGAATTGATGAAGTCATGTGTGATCTTAGAACTGTTTAGTTCTCCTCTCAGTCGTATTGAAAACGTTTTGAAATTTATCTCATAAGTGAGCGCACGGTGATCTGAGAGTGTAACTAAGTTATGGTTCACTTTCCAGTTGGTTATTTTATACAGTAGAGCTGGCGTGCATGTGGTAACATCAATGATGCTGGAGTATTCTCGAGCCCTTCTCCATACATGAAAAGTTGGTGTTTGTCCTTCATTTAATATTTGTAGGTCTAGTTGTGCTAAGGTCTCAGATATAACTGCACCACGCTTATCTTCCACATTGCACCCCCACCAGGGACTTTTGGCATTAAAATCCCCTAAAAGAATAACGTGTTCGGTGTCGAGATTTTCTATGAATCTTGTAATTTTGAAGAGATCTTCTTCAATATCAGCACCCTCCTTGAAATATACATTAATTATAGCTATGCAAAATTCATTTATACTAAGTTTACATATAACTAAATTTTCTGTTATCATGAAAGAAGATTACCATCTCTTGATGGTAATCTTCCTATATGGCTAATAATTAGCCGTTTGATTTTTCCTGAAGACCCTTTCAAGCCGGTGGTCAACCCTTCTAAGTATGCCTGCCGGGACGATTGTACGGTAATAGTAAAAAATACAGTATTGGTAAGTCAAGGCAAGATCAAAAATAAATTTGTACTGGGTATGATGACGAGAGAAATAGATAAAATCAAATACGGTGAAAAATAATAATTAAATTATCTACGAATGAATAGTTATAACATTTATTTTATTAAATTGTAATTTTGTTCCCTCTATAGAATCTTTTATTTTATGATATCTCCGTATATACCATTGAAAATTTATTTTGAATAAAGTTTTTGGATTAAATTTTCTGTTAATTGTTTCATTTCTTCATACTGTATTTTGCCTGCTCTAAAAGAATTACTACAACGATAAGAACCACGACACTATCTTAGCACTCTTAGGATGAATTCACTCGTAGAATGACTTAGAGCACGGCGTCTCCAGTGAACTTTATTACACTGCACAAATGAGTGGCTCGTTTCTCGATATATCCTAAATCCTATCGCGCCACTATCGATATGACACTCCGCTAAAATCGTACTTTTAATTAAAATTTTGACCAGAGAAAAAAGAAAGGACATGACATACCTACGAAAAAACGTGTATATTTAAACCGAGTCTGGCACAAAGATGGCGGCTTGATGTAGTGCTGCGCACTATACTTAATATCGATAATGTGGCGCTTATTTAGAAAAATATTCTTTCGTGTGATTCGTCTCAAACATTCGTGTGTTCTTAGATTTTTAAATCAATATGACGGATTTTTGGCGCGAAATTGTAAGTACTTAATTTTTTTTACTCAACCTACCAATAGGGGTATCAAAATAAAGGAAATTAAAAGGAGATTACCGAAATATATTATAAGTTATAACTATGTTTTCAGTTCATTATTTTTAGGCAGTCGTTGTTTTTTTTAATAATGTAACTGTCTATTATTAATGTTAAAATTATTTCCCGGGAATTACTAAACAAAAAATATTAATCAAAAAATTTTTGTTTGTTTGTTAGACAATAATTTAGGCTCAGTCATCATACTCACACTAATCAAACTATAATAAATGCAAAAGTTTGAATGTTTGTTTGTTCCTCAATCAAACCAAAAGTATCAGACCAGATTGAATGTAATATTTTGGCACACAAATAGTTTATTACCTGAATTAACATATAGGATACTTTTTATCCCGATTTACTTCGGATATTATTTCGGGACCTGCCCGAGGAATAGAATAAGAAATTTCGTAATAATCGAATTCCACTAGAGAAACTTATGAAAATAACACACTCACCTCACTAAAGACGCAATGACAACTGATATCGTTGTCATTAACTGTGACAAAACATGGCGCCTGGCCGCAGCGAAAAAAATTGTTGCCATATTCGGTAATGATAAAACTAATGTACTCCATAAAAAAATTCTTTTATTAATTTCTGCTATTAAATGTCTGTTAATCCATTCTTTTTGGGGTTGATTTAGTATTTTAATTTTTTTTTGTTTTGGTTTCACTAATGAGCTTTTTAATGTATTTATCAACTTCTTTATAATTGTGTGTATTAATTTTGAAACTTGATGTTTAAACCATCTCGTATAATTTCTTGAAGTCTATAGACTCGTATTGTATTCTCTGTTTCTTTGGGATGATTAGTTTTTTCAATTCCACATAAATGTTTTTATGATCTGATATCGATGAGTCAATTATAGCCATATGAAAACTGTTTTCGTTTAGTTCAGTAGAAACATGATCTATTATTGTACAAGTTGTTGTGGTTTCTCGGGTGTTATATTTTGGATCTATTTTATTAAACAACTTGTATCCGTATTCAGTAAGTGCTGTTTTGTAGCGGCGGGCCGAATTGTCTGAGCTTAATAAGTCAATATTTGTATAACCAAAAATGATGGTTCGTTTCTTTTGTAAATGTTGTTCTTCATAGTTGAAGGTCACGAGGGTATTGTAGGCAACTAATTTGCCGACAAATTTGCACGGGAGGGTTCAAAGTGCACACAATATGGACCTGAGCCATTATGTGGAATCTCAAGAAGCCTAGCCCGATTGACCCTTGAAATTCTTTATCACAATAAATCACTTAAGATCTGGTCTGACACACCGAGCTTAAAACATTCTAAAACCTTAATCCGGGCTTTTGATCGTAAATTCGCCTTAGAAGCCCTAAGATTAAGTAAAAATAAATTGCGCATTCCGGCAAGAGCCCTAACTGGTATATTTTTTGTCTATCAGTCTGTTTGTTTGTTGCGGCTAATCTGCGAAACGGCTATACCAATTTTGACGCGACTTTCTTTAGTAGATAACTGACGTTATATTATTCATTTTAGAAAAAGAATTAGGGTTGCACGCGCAAAAAATATATTTAAAACAATAAATTACACGCGCGTGAAGTCGCGGCGTATGGGTAGTATACAGTATACATACATTTTTCAAATATTAAACTACCATTGTCACGGAGATTTACATACAATAAGACAGTAAATGTGCGTAATTATACAAACTTACATTAATAATTAAAACCGCACTATTTAAAGCAGTAGTTTTGACCTCAAGAGTATCGTATAAAACGCTAAAAATTTTTTTTGTCGTGTCTGTTGCTAAGAAATTACTTAAAAACAAACACCGGAATTTCAACCAGTTGTTGAGGAAGGATAAGAAACAGTGAATTACGTAAGTACTAATGTTTTTGTATTATTCAAATGTCCAAAATTAAACTTCGAGACATACAGTCTTAATATTTTTTATAGATTTAGATTACTGTTGCACAAATTATCTTCTTCTTCTCTTATTCTATAAAATATATATAAAAATCAATTACTGTCCGTTAGTCTAGCTAAAACTCTAAGACAGCTCGACCGATATTGATGAATTATATAAATTTTTTGTGTTTATTTCAATGGGTCCCTGGATGGTTTAATAACTTAAAAAATATTTAGGTTGGTGGCGCTGTTGTCGAGATCCAGAAATTATCCGTGCAAAGCTGGGACAGATCGTTAGTATTTAATATTTCATGACGATATATATATATATATATATATATATATATATAATTTAATGTGTGTACACAATAATAATAATAATAATAGTAGTAGTGTATGGGGCGGTGGAGTACGATCCTCTGTCATCTGGGCGAGCGGATGATGGCTGCGGAAAGCCGCATAAGGATAAGAAGGGGTATATTCCAGGGCGACTGTATGAGTCCAATCTGGTTCTGCCTCTCTTTGAACCCTCTCAGTACTTTACTGGAGGGCTCCGGGAGGGGGATTTCAGCTTCGCAAGGGAGGTACAAAAGTGACCCACCTTTTCTATATGGATGACCTCAAATTATTCGCCTCCAGTCGTTCCCATCTTATGGAATTGCTAAACATCACTTGTGAATTTAGCAGTTCTATTGGAATGGAGCTGGGGACGGATAAGTGTGCGGTCCTCCATGTTGAAAGAGGAAGGGTTGCTAACTCTGAGGGCATAGTTTTATCTATGCCCGTCAACTTAAGGGCCCTTTCCGAGGCTGAAACATACCGATACCTGGGTATGTCACATAACATCGGTATCGATGAGGCTGGTATGAAACAGTCAGTTTGCGACGTATTTTATGCACGCTTGACCAAAGTGCTTAACAGCCTTTTGTCCGGTGTGAATAAGACACATGCATATAACGGTTGGGTCATGCCTGTCCTCATGTATACCTTTGGCATACTCAGGTGGAGTCAGACTGAACTTAACGCCCTGGATAGAAAAGTCCGCACTACAATGACGTCCCATAGGATGCATCATCCGAGATAGTCGGTAATGAGGCTGTACTTGCCGCGAAAGCATGGTGGGCGTGGCTTCCTGAGCGCGCTCACCATGCATAATCGCGAAGTGTGCAGCCTCCGTCATTACTGGCGAGATCGGATGATTCATTCTATATGACGTCATTTCTAGTGATAAAGGACTTATCCCTCTATCCTTAGCCAACGAGCAATGGCAAGACCCGGCAGTACAGAGCATTTCCGACCGGGAGACCTTATGGAAGGAGAAGGAGCTCCATGGGAGGTACTACAGGGCTCTACATGAGCCTCACGTAGATACAGCCGCCTCACTCAACTGGCTACGTTTCGGTGACCTCTTCGGGGAAACCGAGGGTTTTATCTGTGCAATACAGGATCAGGTTATTAAGACCAACAACTATCAGAGATACATCCTAAAGGATACACTGTCGACGTCTGTCGAGCTTGTCGCCATCCCGGTGAGTCACTTAGGCATGTCATCTCCGGTTGTTCGTTGCTTTCTAACTGTGAGCACTTGCACAGGCACAACCTAGTAGCCAGAATTCTACACCAGGAGCTCGTTCTGAAATACGGTCTCGTGGACCGGAAATTGCCGTATTACAAGTACTTGCCGGAAGCCGTGCTCGAAAATGACCGCGCCAGGCTCTACTGGGACCGGGCCATCATCACAGACAGGACTATTCTTGCGAATAAGCCTGATATTGTGCTGATGGACCGGGTACAGTCAAGGATATTTTTGATCGACATTACCATTCCGTAGGACGAGAACCTCGTGAAAGCCGAAACAGATAAACAAACAAAATATCTGGACCTGGCTCACGAGGTGACCGACATGTGGGGTGGTGTGTCGACCGAAATTATTCCTGTAGTCGTCTCTGCGGATGGGCTAATCCCAGTCAGCCTCTCGGGTCATCTGAGGCGACTGGGACTCCGTGACGGACCGCTCCGGGCTCAAATGCAGAAGGCGGTGCTCCTCGATACCGCCCGCATCGTCCGCCGGTTTCTTTCCCTTTCCCCCTAACCCTCGGCCGTCTGGTCTCCCCTGCCAAGGGCTCCCATCTGGTTGGATCTTATTTATTTATGTAGTTTTTGTATTTATTTTATTTTATTGATATTTATGTACATTTATCTTTTCATTTTAATTTATAATTATATATTTATAGAACCCAACCAGGTGAGAAAATTATATAGATACCAAAATAATAATAATTTTTATTTGCAAGAATATGGTTGTACAACGGTGTTCGAGTATAATTTGTTCTACATATTCTACCTGAGTGGTATGCAAATATTAATAGTCAAGTACTCGTAACTTCTACAACAATACTTATCGATTTTTTAACAACACAAATTTTTTAACATTACTCAGTTGATTTGATGATTAATTAATTATGCAACAGTGTCAGAAAAATAAATTGCTAATAAGATGTATAAGTATTATTATAGCTCAATGTCAAATATTAATGTTCTTATGTCAGTAAATATAAAGTCAATTATAAATGTTACATATCGAATTGTCATTAATTTATTTCAATATTTATATCAAATTTATTATTTATTTATTTATTTATTTATTTAACAGTTTATTTACACACATACTTTGACAGGAAAATGGTAAAAACAAAATTATGTACAAAGGCACTGCTTATTCCATAAAGAAATTTCTTCCAGCAGGCCTATTGAAGGATAGTTGAAGGAAATAGAAGTAGTCAAAGTGTGCACTTTATTAACATTAACATATACAATAAAATACAAATTTACAAACCTACATATATATTATACACATACGTACATACATACACATACATATATATACATATATATACATATACATACACATATATATACATAAATATAAAATACCAATATAATATATTATAAGAAAAAAGATAATATAATTCAATATATTATATTTTTAATATTACGTATATGAATATCTACACGTAACGAATTAATTATTAATTAAATAAATAACATTTTTAATTTATAAGAATGACATAATTTAAACATTGTGTCAAATTCTAAAATGTATCTTCTACTTATCTGCAAAGAAGTCTTTAATTGAGTAAAAAGATGAGCCATTTTTTTAGGTGAGTTTTCATTCTCATTGTTGGTAACTCTCTAATCGCTTTAGGTATCTTATTAAAAACTTTTACACATATTACGTAACAATTTTTATGAAACAAAGCTGTCCTGCAGGCAGGCATTAACAATCTAGTTGGGTCCCTTTTACCTATAACAGAATTGTCGCGAGCACTATGAAATAAACACTGATTTTTTTGACAAATATACACACCTCTAATATGTACAATCCAGTCAGCGCTAGCAAATTATTATTTTTAAATAAAGATCTACATGATTCAAAGGGCCCGACGTTGCATAAAGCTCGTATACATTTCTTTTGACTGATAAATGCCTTGTTTATATCAGTCGAGTTTCCCCATACCAACAGACCATACCTCAACACAGATTCAATGTATCCGTAGTATGCAGTAAGCGCAGCCCCTTTCCCTGTGACGCACTGTAGTCTACGCAGTGCATACACAAATTTATTTAATTTGGTGCAGACATTTTTCACATGCGACTTCCAGTTGCAATGGTTATCAACATGTAGGCCTAAAAGATGTCTTTCTGAAATCTCTTTCAAATATTCATTATTATATGAAATATTTAGCTTTTCATTTGGTGTACTGTAATTGGAAAATGTTATGAATTTTGTTTTTGAAACATTCGCACGCAGATTATTGGTTTCTAACCAGGTCATTATGGATTCTGTAGAAGAATTTAACGTTATTTCAAATAGAATAGACTGATGAGGTGTCATAGTCGGTAAGTCATTTATATAGAATAGAAATAAAAGTGGACCCAATACACTGCTCTGTGGTACACCATTTTTATTATGAGTAAAAGAAGATCTAAATGACATACGGTTATGCTTTTCATCAATACGTGTCACTTCAACACATTGTTGTCGATTTTATAAATATGATTTTAGCCAATTTAATGCTGGTCCACGAATTCCATATCTTTCACACTTATCTATTAGTATAATGTGATCAACACAGTCAAATAACCTTTGACATGTCATAAAATATAGCAACCACTGGTACTTTTTTGTTTATGTAATCAGTTACTCTATGTATTAAAGAAAATACGGCGTGTGTTGTGGATTTTCCTTTTTGGAATCCGTTCTATTCTTTACGGAGAATATTATATTTAGACAAGTAGTTGTAAATTCTACTATGCATCGCCTTCTCAACAAAAATCGTATTGTTAAAAATAGTTTTGTTATACTCTACTAATTATATACTATATGTTTGTCATTCCGTAAACACTAGGACACAAGCACAGGTTAGTTAAAGCAGTTACTCGACTCCATAGAGTCAGTAATTCCTTCATGTGACAGTGTATGGGCTTTTAGAATAAAGTCCTAGAAAATATCCATGACCTATCTAAAAGTTTAAAATATTTTATAAGCTAAAGTTATTTCATCATCATCATCCACATAACAGTCTACAAAAGTCCAATGATGAGCCCTCCCCATATATTGTCTCATAGAGGGGATTTTGCCATAGTTGTTACGCTTGGCATTAGGGTTGGCAACCGCAGTTTTTATTTTCTGGTTATTATTAAGAAGATGCTGCTGCCCGTCTTCTGGTTTGTTTCCCTTTGTCGCCTCTGATATTCACTGGTCAATTTTTTTATAAAGGTGACAAATGAGCAAAAAGTCCACGTGGTACGGTGTACGTGGTAGAACTACGCTGTAGCTATATTGTGGTTGTAGCACGAATGGGTCGGCTCCTACCTAAGGTTTAAGGGGTGACAACGCATTTTAATTTGATTCTTAATCGAGGATAAAATGTAGGTGTCTATGGACCATAGCAACCACTTACCATCAGGTGGATTTTGTGCTCGTTTGTTACCCTATCCTATAAATAAAATATATATGAACTCATTATCAGGTGGACTGTACACGCTTATTATCTTTACTTCTATAAAAAAAGATTTGTAGTTTTATGTTTATTTTTAATTTTTGTATCGAAATTTTTTGTTAAAATTAGCGATTAAGAGAATGAAAATATCAATAAAGTCAACTAAAATCAAGCAAATAAGATCTAAAATCTTAGCTGTACATAAGCATTTAAAGCTATAGTGGAGTGTCGATATCTTATTGTTGCAAGTAAGACTACTGAGAAATTTTGTCGATCAAAAAGGCCAACGTTCTTCGGTACCACAAGAATATGTGTTGTTTATTTTAAATATTTCCTTAGCATTAAAATTTTCTCTTGTATCGTGAATTCGTTTTACTTGAATTGCACATCTACTGTCATCCAGAACCCGAACAATTAACTGTAGGTCCTACAAACATTTGTGTCGTGCAGCATGATTGGTTACTCGTTTGCCACCTTAATGCTATAACAATACAAGAAAGTCCCAAAAAATATGCGGAACCTGTATATATATATATATATATATATATATATATATATATGTATATATATATATATATATATATATATATATATATATATATATATTATTGTGTGTGTGTGTTAACAAGTTTGGCAAGTAACTTTAAAAGTTGGCGAATTTAATAAGGATGGAATCGTTATTGAATGTGCCTAATGATATAACACTTGCAAGATTATATGTTAAATTATGGAAAAAAAATGATTTTTAAAGAAACCCAGTTGTAAATTAATTTTCCTTACTTGTCTAAAATGATTTTTGTGTACCCAAGAATTTCCTCAAGCCTGTTACTTAAGATTCTTGTTTAAGTGAAACGGTGGGAACTTTTGATAAAGTTCATATTCCAACATAGTCATCCGATTCCGAGCTATGTTTCAAATTTCAAGTCTCTGGCTAATAGGGAAGTGCTTGAAATTTGAGTGGCAAGATCCCACCCAGAGCTACGGACAGACATACAGACAGACAAACAAGAACGTGACTTAATAAAAACGTGGTAAAACTCTTAACTTTGTTTGTTTAGCATGGCGCCAACAACCACGGAAGAACATCTCAATACAGAAGCTGATTTCAACAGATCAGTTACTCGAGCTGCCCCGCGAAATTACGACTTCGCCTATTTCAGCGTATTTAGGCAAATCTCTCTCCATCTGGCTGCTGGCTATGGATTGTATCTAATGTTTACTGAGGCTCAATGGAAAACCGTGATATTTTGTAAGTGACAATTACGTTATGCGGCTAGCTTTAACTTACTACTTTTATGGGATAGGATTGTGTATGATATTTCCGAGAGGATTTTAGAAAAGTGTTCGCCGCGCTGCCCCAATGAGTGTTGGAGAACTTCACATGTCTTCGAATTTTTTTTCTTAGTTCTCGTACGTGATGGTTTCCTCACGATATTTTTATTCACCGCCGAGCACATGGTAAATCAGCACTTAAAATTTCAATTCACAATTTTATTGGTGCCGGCGGGGATTGAAATCGGTTTGCTCGCATACTGTGTGTAATTTACAGCGAGCGCTAACCATCTGACCTACCAGTTAGTATAAAGTACGATAAAGTATATTAGCGAGGATAAAAAAATGACATAAACTTAAAATTAATATTATCTTGTATTACCATGAGAGCGTTTTTCTTATTGTAGGTGTTATCCAAAATTCCGATATCGACATACATTTTTTTCGATACAGCTTGACCGATAACGGACACTAAAATCTATAGATCCACCTACGATGTTTTTCCATTGACCGACACGACATCAATATATCGTCGATAACCGTAGCACGTTCGCTTCCCACAGAATTAGGGTTGCCAGACGTCCTTTACTTTAAAAGGCATACTCTGTTTCAGATCCAAAAAATTATATTGTCCCCTAATACGAAATCTTTAAGGGCCTATACTACCTTAAATGGCTTAGAAAGATCCTCCATTATGCCGAAAATATTGCAGCATTAAAGTAAATTTGAGGATTAATGATAAGTACTAAGTTAGACAAAAACACGATTTCGTAAAATTTTCTCGATAGAAAAAAACCCATCAAAAAGTTATCTCCAAACTGAACAATAAACCCCTAGTATTCATAAAACACTTAAAATTTTATAATGAAACTTTGCGTACCTACTAACTGAACTGACTATAGAGCAGGGCTTATGTTTTTTTATTTTTTTTTAAATTATCCTTATTTTCACTGTAAAAATAAATTACCTAAACTATCGGCGTCCTGAACCTTGTTCCCTGCCGCCCGATCACCTGATCAGTCTCGCGTCGGCTTTCGAACGGGAAAGTTGTGTCACTTACGATCAAAATACACATTACATAACAGGACGACGAAAAATTAAAATGTGAAATAACCGTAATAAAAATAAGAAGTGACTATGTTGGCGTATAGAAATAGGCATAAATATGATAAACCTAATGAAATAAGTATCTACTTACAGTATTAGTGATAACAAACATCTCGGTACACAGCATTAGACGCGTGGGGAAGTGGAGGTTGAAATTAGAATTTGAGCTGAGGTAGTATAGGCCCTTAAACTATTTTAAACGCCTAACTAAATTTAAGCGATCCTGAAAATATAAACTATTATTTCCTTAATATCCCAAGCCCGGCGTCTGCCTCACAGTCTACTATAGATTATTACGAGACGAACAGATTTATTTCTGCAATATTTGACTTTGTTCAAACTGACAATAACGCTGTTATAAAAATACTTCAAAATTTAAAATCAAACGCTCTAGGTGTGGATGGTATCTCATTGGAAATGCTACTGTCGAGTCTCCCCTATTCCATAGGTGCTATCACAAAGATTTTAAACATCTCTCTCACTACAAAAAGGTTTCCCACTCTATGGCAAATGTCGTTAGTAAGACCAATTCCTAAAAAAGTAAATATTATGGACTATAAGGATTTGCGGCCAATAAGCATACTGCCATGTATGTCTAAAATTCTAGAAAAAATTGTCTGTGATCAACTAACGCATTAATTAAACTTGAATAACATTCTACCAAACGTTCAATCTGGTTTTAGGAAACAGCATAGTACAACAACAGTCTTAGCTTATGTGGTTGATAATATTTTAAATGCGCAAGACTCTGGTAAGGCTACTATTTTAGTACTTTTGGACTATTCCCGTGCATTTGACACAATAAATAGACGTCTACTGCTAGCAAAATTTAGGTATTATCGGTTTAGTTCCGATACAGTCGACTGGTTTGCTAGTTACTTTAGTGATCGTAGGCAGATTGTTGAAGTAACGGATAGTGACGGCTCTAGAACAGTTTCTGAATGCTCTCCTGTTGCGAGAGGGGTGCCGCAAGGCTCAATACTTGGTCCTTTGATTTTTGCCTTGTATAGTGCAGATATTACAAAAAGCCTAACAAACTGCAAGTACCACATATATGCTGACGATGTGCAGCTATGTATTTGCTTCCGCCCCAGTGAAAGTACTGATGCAATACAAAAGTTGAATGATGATCTAAATCGCATAGCAGATTGGTCTGAAGCAAATACCTTGGTTTTAAATCCTAACAAATCAAAATAAATGCTACTCGGTACTAAAGCACAAATCAGTAAAGTGTTAGCTGCCCACCCGCGCGAGAAACTTAGGAATAGTCATGGATGAGCAGCTGAGGTTTGAAAAACAGATAATTAATACAGCTAAAAACTGCTTTTACCGGTTAATAGTTCTGTACCAAATCAGAAATGTTTTACGCACTGAGGTGCGTAAGAAATTATGCGAATCGTTAGTACTATCTAAATTTAACTACGCTGACGCGGTATTAGGGCCTAGACTGCTCGCGCGTTCAAGGAAACTAATCCAGCGTGTTCAAAATGCCTGTACCCGCTTCTGTTATAAAATTCCTCCACGTGCCTATGTGGAGGCACACCTTATATTAACAACGCAAGAATGCTTAAAATGGACTACCGTTGGCAACTACATTTCGCCACTTTATTGTTTGGCACTATCGAAACGAGAACTCCCTCCTATCTTTATAATAAGTTACAATGGGCACGAGGCAATGCTACAATTTCGACAAGAGCTTCGGCTTACAAGTTGCTCATACCCATACATCATTCTGCCGCATTCTGAGGGAGCTTCAGAAATGCCGCAACGAAGTGCTGGAATAACCTTCCACCGCCTCTTCGAAACCTACAATCAGTGTATAGTTTTCGTACAAAATACAAAGCTATACTATTGTTACGAGCTTGAGGTTCGTGACAATAAAAATTGCCGATAAAATTACCTAAATTAACACTTTAATTTACTTTACAAAAATTAAAACTAAAAACACTAATAATTAAACACACTAATTCTCTTAATTCCGCTCCGAAGCATCGCTTGTGTCGCCGAGTTCAACTCTGCCCCAATCGCATCTTGCAGCGCCTATTTATATAATTAGCAAAGAAGCGTCCCGAACATTCAAGTAAATGCGCGCCAGGCAACGAGTATTCGAGTGTAGATTTTCCAGAAACTTAATTCTTCGGGTGGCGCTGTCGGTCGAGTGATTTGTGACATCATTTTCTCAATGCTCCCCTCGCTCTCGTTCCTGACACTAGATGGCGCTAGTGTATCGTCGACTTGAGCGCGTAACACTGCCCCCTCCTAAGACATGCTCGTCCAAAGCATTATCGGCCCCATAATAACGCGCCAAGCGATTAACATGGACGCTCTTAGGAGTCCCTCTTGCGCCTTTCTGTAACGGCTCCGCAATGTCAAGGGCTGTTCTATCCCGTGGTGCACCAACATTGTACAATTTCGGTGCTCCTCTACTACGTGTCTGAGGTCCCCGCACGGCCGCACAACTTGTACATGTACGACACCAATCCTCGACATCGTCACGATAATGGACCCAGTAAAACTGTTCTCGGACCTTCAGTAGAGTTCGTTTAACTCCCAGATGGACTCTTGAACGACCATTATGGCACAGCTGTAGAACATTCGGCACTTTAGCTTTAGGGACAACCATTTGTAAACGACTGCTGTCCCTTCGACCATTGTCCCATTTACGGCACAGGACTCCATCCTGAATCAGCAAGCTGTCCCATTGGGCCCAATAGCTTTTCGTAGTTGAACTCATCGCTGAGACGTCCCTCCACTTAGGCTTGGTAGCACGGGCCTTCATCCATCCCAGAATCGGCTTGATGTCCGGATCTTCCTGCTGTGCATGTCGTAGGCTGTCCTTCCACCCGTTGCTGAGGTGGTCTGTCCTGAGCATCCTCACGGATACCACTTCCTTACTCTCTTGCCTACTACAATGGTTGCAATCTTCAGGACAAGGTCTTCTTGTCAATGCATCTGCGTTGCCGTGAGATTTCCCGCTGCAGTGTCTGATAGTAAAGTCGTATTCCTGCTGCTGCTGGGCGGTGCTGTTAGCCGCACTTCCTTTCTGAGACCGTTCACCTTCCCTTCCTAGGGTGTGCTTAGGGCAGCTGGACCGAAGATGGCCCTTTTTCCCACAGCCATAGCACCTAGGGCTGTATCCTTTGCTGCGGTCACGGACTGTAGCTGCTGCAACCTCCCTGACGCGATGGGAACGATGATCCTGCCGCACGGCTTCCACCTCCAGTGCATGGGCCAAGGCGTTCTTAAGCGTCTCGTGGTGCCCGAGCCTCACAGCAGCTCTGACTTCCAGGTCGCGGATGCCGTCAATGAATGTCTGCACCAGGTTCCCCTCAATGAGCGCAGGTACAGACCGGTATGCTTTTCGCACCAGCTTCTCCACTTCTAGAGCCCACTGCTGCAGGTTTTCGTTGATGCGCTGCACACAATCTTTAAGCTGCGCACGAAAGACATGTTCCAGGTGAGCGTCACCATATCTCGCCTCCAATGCCTCAAGGAGTTGCTCATAAGTCACTTCTTCACCGAGAGCTTCCAGAACTGTTAAGGCCTGGTCGCGCAGGCCTAGTGTGAGAGCACTCATGGCCTGACTTTTATTCCAGCCGTTCGCCTTCATAACAGCCTCGAACTGGATATTGTAGGCTGACCAGGAAGAAGTCCCGTCGAATGGTGGCACCTTGAACCCACGTAGCGAAGGTGTAGTAGCTACTACGGGAGCTGTAGTTCCCTCCCCAAGTTTGAGTTCGTCAAGTGATTTCCTCATGTCAGCCATTACGTTGTCAACCCGATTATTCACTTGGTCAATTCGGGTTTCAGCTTCCGACAGGCGGTTTTCATGTT